CATGAGGAGGCCCCTACTGCTGCTGGAGGCTGTTGCTGCTGCTGCTAGTATCCCCGGGACCTTCCAAGAGGCCACCAACACCACCAGGCCCGTAAGCTGCTGGACCTGAAAGCTGCTGCTGCTGCTGCTGAGAACGGAGTTCATGTCATTTGCCAACAGCTCCCGGGATCTTTCCCAATTACGTAGCATGGACCCACGTGTGAGGGGTCTGGTGAGTCCGCCTGGCATATAAGGGGTTTGTGACCCACTTTGCACAATGGGTTTGAAGGGTCTGAGCCCTAGCCCTGACAATACAAATAGAAACTTAATACAACTGAAATAATGAAACATTTTGGCTTTAGTTATGATTTGCCTTACTCGACAGTGTAAAATGACACAACCACTTTAAAAAAAACTCTTCAGCAGATTCTTAGAAAGTTAAACCTATATCTACCCTGTAATTCACCAATTCCCATTCCTAGATGTTTATTGCCCAAAAGAAATGAAAACATATGTCCATAAAAACACTTAGACAAGGATGTCTCTAACAGCCTTGTGCAAAATAGGCAAAAACTGAAAACAGCAACGAACATTATTTGTTTATCAACATGGGAATGAATAAACTGAAACAGAAGCCCGCTTGCATGGGCCATGGATAAACTGTGATCTATTCATACAATAAATATTCATATAATGGAATGCTATTTATTCAACAACACTGAACATGCCTCAGGTTTTCAGATGTTCTTTTCCCCACAGCAGAGAAGCATTTCCAGGTTAATTCGTTAGCAGGCTGGCTTCAGAAATGCAGTTGCAAAATACTAATGCTTTTCACAAGACATTAGCTTGGTGAAGAGAGAGACTTATCTTGTAAGTAGTTATTACTAATTATTACTAAGTACAGTTGGCCCTCCATATCCATGGGTTTGTATCCATGGATTCAACCAACTGCAGATCAAACATATTCAGGGAAAAAAAAAAAAAGAATCTCATCTGTACTGAACATGTAGAGACTTTTTTCTTGTCATTATTCCCTAAATACAGTAAAACTATTTACATAGCAATTGCACTGTATTAGGTATTATAGGTAATCTAAACACGATTTAAAGTATACTGAAGGATGTGCATAGGTTATATGCAAATACTATAACATTTTATATCAGGGACTTGAGCATCCATAGATTTTGCTATCTGTGGTAGGTTCTGGAACCAATCTACAGATATCAAGGGACCACAGTAATAACAATGAACATAAATATTCATACAATGAATGAATCAGCAATGAAAAAGGAATAAACTACTGATAAAAGCAACATGAATGAATCTCAAAATCATTAGGTTGAGCAAAAGAAGGCAAATATAAAAATATATATATACTATATATACTACATGATTCTACTTATATGAAGCCCAAAAACACGTACAATTACTCTGACAGCAATCAGAAGGTGACTGAGTTCGGGGTAGGGAGAATGGATTGGCAGGGAAGAGGCAGGAAGGAGCCTCTAAAAGTGATTAAAGTGTTCTGTGTCTTGTTTTGCATAGTGGTTACATGGATGTATAAGGGTTATCAAAAACATATAGGGTTGAAATAAGAAAATATGAAGAAGAAAAAAGTCTGTACATGTTCAGTACAGATGCAATTGAACAAAATTGAATACTTAATACCTGTGTATTTTCTTGTCTGTAAATTATATCACAATAAACATACATGTTTTTAAACTTAACTGAGGTAAATAGTCATTTGTGATTTGCCAAAGCAATGTTTCTTAAATTCAAAATAAAACATACTTTAGAAAAACAAATCATTTGATATTTAAAATTTCCATCACAGCTGAGAAATAAGCCATCAATGTGTGTTTATAGAATTAAGATTCTGAGCTAACAGAAGGGTGACCAAACATCTCAGTTTGCCTTAGGCCAGTGTTAACAATTGTTAACAGTGCCTACTTCACTACCAAAAGTATTCTAATTTTGATGAAGACCTTTAAGATCACTTTAGCTAAAAGGGAACTTAGCTATTATTTAGTACAATGAGCTCATTCACTTTTTCACTCAACCCACATTTGCTAAGCAACTATTATATACCCAAACATACTCCCTTTGTTCTTGCTACCACTTGCATTGCTTCTTTGTTTCCACAATCAAAATATAAAATAGCTAGATGGATTTTCCCTAAACATAAAATTTACACCTGAGAACAAACTAGATACAGAAGAAATCAATCAGAACTTTTATCTACAAGAAAAATATAAATCAAGCTTATGAAAAAAAAAATACTCAAGCTGTGAAAAACAACGTATGTAAAGATATTCACAAATATAAAATAAAGGAAACCTTTACCTGCTGCCCTGTAAAGTATTTTAGGTTCAAAAAATATACAAGGATTTTTATCCTCTATGCATGACAAAAGAAGTCCTTTGGCCTGGAAAGGGCTTCTGGGTACAACCACCTGCAAAAACAGATTTTTTAAGAGACAATTTTAGTAAAAATGTATCCCAGTAAACTCACAGATAGAAAGGGTTTATATTTAAACAACAATTGTTATTAATTAAAAATAGAAATCTGATACTTATTTTTAGTCTACTTGCCATTTATTATAAAACTTATATATTGTCCAAAAAAAATTCCTTTTGTTCAACAAATATTTATCAGATGCCTACAATGTTCTGATAACTAAGACATAGCTCTTCTCTCAAGATACTGTTCTTCTCATAAAATATTGCTCATCTCTAAACTTATGTATATAAAAAATAAAAGGAATCTGCAAAGAGCATTCATCAAAGGAAAAAAAGTAAAATTGTCAATATCTACCTGTATTTACCTTTACATAAAGAAATCTCTTCTACTAATATTCTGCTGCTGCTTTCAAAGTGCATGCAACTCTCTTATCTCATTTTAACACACCAAAATCTCCTTTTCCATAAAAAAATATAGTCTTCATGTTATAAGTAGAAAAAAAATCCACTGAATTTTATGATCCAGGCACTACACTGCCCAGTTATGGCAGAGGAAATAGAAAAGTGTGGGTACTCCACACTTCCATTTGACAGGAAGGGCTCCAGCACCTTCTTGAGAATGAGGGTGATTATGAGGAAGATACGACAGCAGAAGTACATGTGTTAATGTGGCCACACACTTTATGTAGACTAATTCACCTACTGTTCATACAACTCCATGAGGTAGCTATTATTTTCCCCATTTTAAAAATAGAAAACAAGCTTAAAGAGAGATCAAGGTTCTTGCGCAAGAGATTGGTGTGACCTTGCCCAAGTTTCCATTGGCTTGCAAGACTAGGTAGTCTCACCCAATTCTGACACCAAAGCTGAGCTCTATGCCATGTTGCATCAAATCACAAACTTGTAATTAATGTTTAATCATTGCAAAATAACTATATAAAACAAGTATTACATTGGAAGAGTTATCATTAAAATAAACCCAAATTTACCAAAAAGGCTTAAATAAGATTCCTTGGAGCAAACTACATTTGACTTTCAAAGTCATTTTATACCATTTTTATTGAGGATCTTTATTTAAAAAATAAAATAACAGAACTAATCTCACTATTTTATTTCCTGTAACAGACTTCTGACACATTAATAACCATATAACACAATGGCCTTATCTTGTATTCCTACTTTTTAGTTTCTCTATATCTGCTTTCTTCATATTTTTATCTTTATATATTCATATATTTACTTTGTATATTTACTTTTATTCTTTATGTATATTTTCATTTGGGGGAAAAAAGAGAAAGAGAGGGGAAAGCGAAGGTGGAGGACTGCAAGAAAAGGTCTGTTCTTAACAACACTGGGTAATGTTATAAACATTAAATGTGAATCAATGGTCGGCTCAAGCACAAAAATAACTGTTGCCTCAGCTGGTAGGTTCGACAGAAGCTAGAGTATGTTGGAAAATCATGCAACCTCTACTCAACTAAGAAAAACCTTCTGATTTTGATCTGGTAAAAAAAAAAATAAAAATTAAGAATAAAACATAGACACATGTTCACAACGAATTCATGTTGTCAAAAAGCAAACATACACGTGGACTGACATATCTGTGAGTTTCTATGAAGATTCTCTGGAAAGCTCTTCAGTAAATAGAAAAGATGATAATGTAAAAAATTAAGACATAAAATACTCAAAATATTTTTCTCAAAAGACCTAAGCTATTGTGAAAGGCAGGCTATAAAAGGGAAATGCTTCAAAATTGTTTGAGTGTTATTTTACCCTAAACTGGGAAAAACACATCTAGGTAACAGTCTCCTCTCAGTTTATTTTAAAAGTTAGAAATGTTCATTCCCCATACTTGCCAGCCAAACAAAAAAAAAAAGAAAGAAAGAAAGAAATGGACTAAAGCAAAAGTCCTATCCTTCTGACTTTGAGGTAAATATGGACTAAATACTAGATTTATTAAAATCACCCCAGCATCAGTGAAGAAAGACCCATTAGAAAGAAACATAGAGCTTTGAAAGAAGGGGAAGATAAACCAACTATGTTGTCAAATCTTATTCTTTGAAGTCTACGAAGTTAATTAATGCCGGCATGAAGCCCGTGCTGCTTTAAGAAGAATATTCTATAAAACTGGGCACTGGACAGTTGATTTAAAAGAAATGCTTGCTCTTTCTTAAATACAATTAAGTTCACATGAATTTCAAAAATCCTGGGTTTTTTTCCTCTAGTTAATATTAACAGATTTAACCAAATGAAAACATCAAATGGAGATCAAATAAAGGATATAAATGAGAATACCTTGATTCCTGGGCAATGGGCAAAAAAAGCTTCGGGACTCTGAGAATGATAGAGAGCCCCATGGCCAACACAGCCCCAAGGGGACCGGATAGTGAGGCTTCCACAGTTAAAAAGATCCCCAGAGCGATAGCGATACTTGGCAGCCTCATTAACAATCTGAGGGGTAGAAAAGGAGAAGAGACGTCACCATGAGTCCTTCCTTCCAAATTCATTTTCTTAAACCATTACATTAAACCTTTAAATATATGCCCATAAGAAAATGAAAAACAGAATACAGTAGCATAAAACATTCCTAAGATGGGGGTGAGAGGGTGGAGGCAATACTTCAATACTTCATGGAATTAGCCTTAGAAATGCTTATTTATAGTAAAATATGATGCACTTACCTGATCAAAAGCAGGGAAAATATAATCTGCAAACTGAATTTCTGCAATGGCAGTAGCACCAGTGACTGCAATTCCAATTCCAAATCCAACAATTCCTTGTTCACATAATGGGGTATTAAAAACTCTATCTTTTCCTTAAAAAAAAAAAAAAAAAAAAAAGGAAGAAATGTAATCTTAATATGGCAGATGAGAGTAATGTACTGCACAATACATCTGAAAATTCACTAAATTAATAATGATGGGATGGAGAATTAAAGAACAGATGGAGGGAATAAAAAATAAATAGTATGATGCTGATTTAAATGCAATCAGTAATTATATTAACTGTAAGTAATCTAAATGTTCCAATTAAAAGAAAGACTGTCACACTGAGATAAAAAAAAGCAGAACCCAACTACTTAAAAGAAAACACAAACTATCAAGATTAAGAAAAACTGTAAGCAAAAAGAAGGAAAAAAATATACAAAGAAAATTTTAACAAAAAGAAAGTTGATGTCACTATATTAAAGGAAAAGGTGTTACCAGAGATAAAAAGGGAAAATTTATTCTGTTATAGGATTCAATTCACAAAGGAGAAATAACAATTCTAAATTTAAACTCATCTAACAAGGGGCTCCAAGTAAATGGGGAAAATTAACACAACTAAAAGGAGAAAAGGGCAAAATTACAATTTACTGGGAGGTTTTCGATGTACCAGTCTTAGTAACTGACAGAAAAGGCATGCCCTGAAAAAGGGTAAAAAATGTAGACTTGAACATGATTAGTAAACATGATCTGACACACACAGGACACTGCACCCAACAGCTAAGAACACAAATTCTTTTCAAGTAAACAGAAAACATTCACAGTAACTGACCATACAAGTGTACTTCAAAAAGTACATGGAATGATTTGGTTATCTTTCAATTCTATTTTTCCACAAACTTTTTGAAGTACCCTTGTATACTAGGCTATAAATCCAATCTCAACAAATTTCAAAGGATTAAAATCACACAGAGTATATTCCCTGACCATAGTGGAATTAAGTTACAAATCAATAAAATAAAAGTTAATTTGAAAATCCTTATGCTAGAAAAACTTTTTAAAAATATGTCTAAATAACCCACAGCTCAAAGAAGAAATTAATTATAATGGAAGACAGAAAGAATTTTGAACTGAATGATAATGAAAAACCTATGTATCACAACTTACTGAAGTTCTGAAGGTAATGGCAGAGTTACCTTTTACAGACTAACCCTTTCACAGCTAATGATTATAAACTCTGGGCAAAATATAATAATACTTAAAAGCATTGGATGATCAAAAACAGGCATAAACTTAAAGGGACTTGACCCTTGAAAGATGAGAAGCTCAGTGGATGAGCATGACATTTATAAGGCTTTTCCCTTGAGGGGATACCCCAGTCTGTTAGGTTAGAATTCAAACAAACAGACTCAGTCTTATCGCCCTGAGGCATCAGACAATGGAATCAAGGGCTGCCAGTGGCTGGAAACTGAGGTACTAAATACCTAAAAGAAGGGTACCACATGGGGATGCCCCTAAATCTGTACATAAACTGCTCAATTCCTTGGCTGACCCCTGTTCCTGCAAAACACTCCAAAAGCCCAGCAGGAAATAATCTCTGGAAGGCCAAAGAGCTGAGAAGAGATTTCAGCTACGCTCACTAAAAGGAGACAGAATGCTGGAATTTAAGACTATTTAAATTAGAAAGCTTGATAAACACTTTAGGTTTTTGCTGAGATTTAAATATGTCCCACAAATTTCATGTGTTGGAAATTTCTTCCCCCAAATCATATGTTGATTGGAGGTGAGGCTTTTGGGAGATAATTAGGATTAGACAAGGTCATCTGGGTAGGGCCCCCATGATGGAACTGGTGGCTTTATAACAACAGGAAGAGAGACTTGAGCTGACAGACTTGCTCCTGCTCTCTCTCTCCATGTGATGTCCAAATCATATGTTGATTGGAGGTGAGGCTTTTGGGAGATAATTAGGATTAGACAAGGTCATCTGGGTAGGGCCCCCATGATGGAACTGGTGGCTTTGTAACAACAGGAAGAGAGACTTGAGCTGACAGACTTGCTCCTGCTCTCTCTCTCCATGTGATGCCTTTCACCATGTTATGACTCAGCAAGAAGGCACTCACCAAATGTAGCACCTCAACCTTGGACTTCCCAGCCCCCAGAACTGTGACCTAAATAAACTTCTTTTCTGTATAAATTATCCAGTTTGTAGTATTCTGTTATAGCAACACAAAATGGACTAAGACAGCTTTCCATGAAAACCACAGGGTACAATTTTATTAGCATACAGCTCAATTCTCACTTGAAATTTCACCACCTCTTGGAATTTCCTAAAAAATTCTAATTCAGGGGCTTTGGTGGACACAAACAATGGCCACGGTCTGGCCAGGTAACCAATAGTTTTGGGACAGATCTGATATTTGTATTTCATTTTTCTAATCCAGAGATACTAGTTCTTCTTGATGCATAGAATTCACTTTCAGCTCAATTCTTCCCTTTGAATATAAACCATAAATAAGGGCAGGTGTTGAGAAATCCCAACTAGACACATCCTATACTGTGCAACTCTAAAAGCAGCTGCAAAAACTTAAAGCATGATTCATACTCATCATGATCTGTGACTATCTTTTGAAATGGTGACCTCTGTTCCTCATCAATTCCCTATTGGACTGTGAGTAGCCTGATAATTTTTAAAATCTATGATTCCATTGAACTAACAACAATTCAGTGGTGTAGAATAAACATAAATTCCAGCTGCCTCCCACGTTATCCACATCCTGTAATACCTGAACCACCTTAACCAAACAAGCAGCATTCTTACTTATACTTTGCTGCTTCAGGTTCATGGGATTCAGACATGAGGGTTCTTCCAAAAGTTCATGGAAAGATTCGTACAATCTTTTAATTCTATTTTTCTGCACTTTTTTTGAAGTATTCTCATTATTTTCACCTCAGTAAAAATTTATAGCCTTTTTTGCTGCTAGAAAGCAGGAAAGTTGAGTTTCTGAAACCTCTCTCCAAAACACTTTGGTTTGAGGAAACAGCTTAACAAATCTGTCCAACAACTTTCCATGATCTAGCAGAAAGTGCTTCAACATGAAGTAAATGTTAAAAACCTATTTCTATTTTCTCCCAGATACTAATTGAAGGCAAGAGCACAAATAAAATGCACAATATTGATGAATTCCTCTATCTCAAAATGCAATTAATCTGATATAATGTTCATGTACACAGCATCCTGATAGATGAATTAATGCATACGGTGAATGTTCCATGAGGCAAGACAGACCAGGGTTTAAGTGTTATTTCCACAAATTACTAAACTCTGTAATGCTCCATTTCTTATCTGTAACTGAAGAGTCATGATACTGAAGAGCCTAAAATAATTTATACATTTATTCAACAAATATTTATAAGGTATTTAATACTGTATGGATACTTTTCTAAGTGCTAAGGATAAAAGCAGCAAATAAAACAAAAATTCATATCCTCATGAAGCTTACATTTAGTCAGTGAAAACAGACAATAAAAACAAAATAAATGAATAAACTATACAGTGTTTTAGAAGATGACAAGTGCTGGGCCGGCCCAGTGGCGCACTGGATAGTGCGCCGCTTGGGAAGCGCGGCGGCGCTCCCGCCGAGGGTTCGGATCCCACATACAGACCGGTTCCCGCTCACTGGCTGAGCGAGGCGCGGGAGCAACGCCGAGGCTTGCGATCCCGTCGCCGGTCCCCGGTCCGGTACGGGGGCAACACTGAGGGTTGCGATCCGTTGCCGGACACGGAAAAAAGACAAAAAAAAAAAGACAAGAAGATGACAAGTGCTATGGAGAACAGTAAAGCAGGGAGGGGAGGTGGAACTACTGTGATTTTAAATAGGGAGATCAGGAAGGCCCCACTGAGAGGTGCATTGAAGCAAAGAGTTGAAAGAAATGAGGATGTGTACCATGCATATATCCAAGGAAATAAATCTTCTGGGCAGAGGGTGACCAGCAAGTGTAAAGGCCTTGTGGTAAGATCACGTTTAGCACATCAGAGGAAAGGTACTTGGTCTGGAGTCAAATAAACAGTGGTAGGAGATAAAGTCAAAAAGTTAAAAGGATGGGATGAGGAGGCAGCACAAGTCAGGCAGGACCTGTAGGTCATTGTAAATGCTCTGACTTTTACTGTGAGAATGAGTCAGAAAGCAGGTAAGTGAGAGAAGCAGGAAATCATCCAGCAAAGTCATGCCATTCTCCAAGATGCATTTCAGCAGGATCCCTCTGGCTGGTATTTTGTGAATAGACTGTATAGCAAGGGGGGACACAGCAAGACTGATTACAGGATACTACAATAATCCCAGTAAGAGATGATGATACATATTAACAGAGAAGGTGTGAGACTGCGTATATTCTAAAGATAGAACCAAAAGGATTTGCTGATAAAATAGATGTGACTGGGAGTCAGAGAAATGCTAAGGATGATTCAAAGTCTTTTGGCCTGGGTAACCTGAGGACAGCATTGCCAGTAACTAAGAAAAAGAAAACTATGAAGAAGCATGTTGGGATGAGAGATCAGGAACTCAGTTTTGGAGACATTTACTTTGAGATGCCTTCAGGCATTCAAGTACAGGTATCATGTAGACCGTTACATACACGAGCTGTAAATCTTCAGCATAAAGATGGCATTTTCATAAAATGGGATGGGATATGATTATTTAGTAAATTTAAATGGGTATATAAAGAAAAAAGAAGAGATCAGAAAGTGTTTCCAGGAAGACAAGGATCAACTTGTGTCACATGCTGCTATTAGAAAGTGAGATGGGGGCTGAGAATTTTATCATTGGTGACCTTGAAATAACAGTTTGTGCCAAATAGGAGGGAAAGAGAAAACAAAAGCTTAATTGCTGCAACTTCGAGAGAATGAGGCTGCTCACTAGGAGAGCACGTGCTGATAACACCACAGTTAAGGGTTCAGATCCCTTACAGGCCAGCCTAAAGTATGAAATAGTCATGCTAGAAAACAGAAGATTGAATGGATCAGAACTTGCAGCATGATGTCAGGCAACATGAGTGGCCCCTGGAGGTCACTAGTCTTGAACTTAAAGTGAGACCAGCTGGCATGATGTTTTTG